CTGATTGCCCTGGGATGGTGCTTATAATATCACGAGTTAATGAGGCTGTGTCTGAAGTATAAACAGATATTTAGCAGTTGCAGCAACGAATAATATAATACCAAACACAGTTTTATATCTTTTCCCATCTATTATTACAAAAATATATATCTGAGAGGTTTACTTTGAATAACAAATAACAGCCTGACAGTTGCAAGTTCAACTTTTTGATTGTCTGTAAATAATATCCTACTTTATAGTGTGTTAGCAGTAAATTGGCCATTCAATAGTGTTTTATTTGTCAGCTAGTTTACAGATGTGTATCTTCACGTCAACTTGTATATTTTTTACTTTTTAGATCTGTTTTTTTTTTTTTTTTGAGATGTTCATATTTTATAATTGTTTATGTTCTACTCTTTTTAATTTCTAACTATGCTGCTGTAACCAGTGGTGTAGTGGGGATTTTTTTACTGGGTGGATGCAATGTCGACGCTCGTGAACTGAACTGTCAACGGGGAGATGCACTGTGGACAGCTGTCGCCAGTCAGCGCAACTTACATGATGCCGTTTAAAAATATAATGATAAAGGGCGGTGCCGGACGTCAGCAAACCAAACTTTCTGCGCGACTGTCACTCAAATGCGGGACATAGTTTCAATTTGTGGGACGCGGGACAAATGATAACCATGGACACACCGGCACATAAGTTACATAAACAATTTTGGACCTAAAAATCCAATTTGGGATAAATAAAGTATATCTTATCTTTATCTTATCTTAGTTTGGGAAGCAGTACGTATTTAGAAATATATGTGAAAGTTGTGAAGTTAACTATTTATTTGAATACCTTGACTTGTTGATGGCCACCAGTTTCTGCACTGCATGACCCTGTATGAGCGCTCGGGCGTTCTCTGGGCTATCTGTGATGATCTCGTGGATGGTGTTCAAAATAGACACCACCGTATCTCCATCAAGGTTCTTGGCCGGGTGCTGCTGCCCACAAGGAAGATTCCCCACAAGGTCCCTCAAAGCATAGCTCCCTGTAACCACAAAAACACAACGTAGTGAAGTCAGTGTGCATGTGTCGAGGTGTGTGTATGAAGATGAGAATAACAAGCCTTTACCTATGAGGTCTTTGTTCCTTCGGTCCATCGCCAGGTTACGGAGAGCGATAGCCACCGCCCGCACCACTTTGTCGGCATCAGAGCGCAGCAGCTCAACCAGGATAGGAAGCCCCTTCTCTTTCCTCACTGTGGCCCGGATGAAGCTGGACCACTAAAAGAGCAAATACAAACAAGGTGATGTGGTGGTTTACATCTCTGTTAGCTCATCGCAGAATTTCTTGTCACTGTTTTTTTATATCTGAACGTGGAATCAATATGTTTTATTTTTTTATTAAACTTTTCAAGGTGGGATGGGAGGGGAGGAGATGGGTGGGGGGTTGGGGGGTGGCGATGGTTT